GCACGCTGGCAGTTCGACTCAGTCTCACATGCCATTTCCACCCGCCGGTCCGCCGCTGGGTTGCCGCGCGAGGCCTCGGTTAGCCGCGTTAGGCGTGGCGTGTCTCCGTTGCTTTTGCTTAATTCGGAGCTGCGTAGCCCGCTTTGACCTGCCTCGCCGCCGGCGCGCTCGCCCGCGGCCGCTGACTAAATAAAGTAAGCCTACCAGCCTATCCAGAGGCAATGCCCAGAGGAGTTGCCTCGGTCAGGGAAGTGGACAGCACGCAGAGGAAGGGTCCCTTTTGGAGCGATCTTGGGACACTCTTGGGCGCTCTTGGGGCCGTATTGGGGCTTTCTTGTGCCTCTCTTGCGTCTTGGGGGCCTCTTGGCGGTCCCGGGGTCCCCTTGGGGCGTCTCGGGTGCCTCGGGGAGCCTCTTGGAGCCGCTTGGGTGTCTCTTGGGAGCCTCTTGGAGGCCTCTTGGGGCCTCCTGGGCACCTCTTGGGGCACTCTTCGGCGCTCTTGCGAGCCGTGGGAGCGCTCTTGGGATCATCTTGGAGGGTATCGATCAAACAAGAAGGAAGCTTGCTTCAGCGTTCCCCCTTGGGGACCCCTAGAGGCGGCTTTCGGGGCGTTTTTGGGGCGCTCTTGGGGTGCTATTGGGCGCACTCGGGGCCGTCTTGGAGCTCTCTTAAGCCTCTCTTGGGGCCCTCCTGGGCCATCTTGGAGCCATCTTGAAGCCTCGAATAACCATCGGAAGCGAAAAGGAACAAAGCAACAACAACATCGATGTTCCTTAGTGTTGGAAGGATGTTGGTCTCTTCGGGGCGTCCCTGAGGAGCTCTTTGGCCACTTGGAGCCGTCTTGGGACGGTCTTGGGGCGCCTCTTGGAACATCTTGGGTGTCATCTTGAGATAGCTTGCGCTATCTTGAGCCGTCTTGGAGGTCGCCTTGGGCTCACCAAGGCGCTCTCGGAGCCATCTTGGGTCAGCTTGGACGCTCCAACGCGTCGCGCCCCCCCCCCGTCCAGCTCCAGGGGAGGGGGCATGGGGTAGGGGTCAAAACCCCTCCCCGCCCGCAAGCCGTCTCGCTCACTCCCACCCGCCCTCCCAAAAAATACGTAGCACCCGAGCCTGGCCCGAGCCTGAGCATATTCAGCAGTCGTCTTTAGATGGGCAGCTACTGGGGGCCAATCCGCCGCCGCCGCCGCCTGCCGCCTGCCGCCTGCCGCCGCCGCCGCCGCCGCCGCCGCTGCCCGCCGCCTGCCGCCTGCCGCCTGCCGCCGCCGCCGCCGCCGCCGCCGCCTGCCGCCGCCGCCGCCGCCGCCGCAGCCGCTGCCGCCACCGCCGCCGCCGCCCACCGCTGCCAAACCGCCGCCGCCGCCGCAGTCGCTGTCGCCACCGCCACCGCCATCGCTACCGCCGCCGCCGCCGCCGCTGCCGCCGCAGCCGCCACAGCCGCCGCCGCCGCCGCCGCAGCCGCCGCAGCCTCCGCCGCCGCCAAGTGTAGTGTACTATGTATTGCTGTTTGACAGGGGTGGTGGGGGGGGGGCGCATCGGGTTGGCTGCGCATGTTCCGAATTTGGAGGCAGGGTGTGGTTTGCATTGTTTGTTTAAAAGGAATGGTGGGCGGGTGTCGTCATGGACCCTGGCTGGCCCCCAGTCGCCTGGGGAGGGGGTGTTTATTAATAGGGAACAGTGATGAACCCCTCCCCGAAGGGGAAGAACGGGGTTGAAAGAGGAAACGCCCTAGACCACATACGCCCAGAGGGCTGGTGGGATTAGATTCGGGTCTGGGAACCGCAAAAAAAACCCAATTTCAGCGACTGGCGGATTACCTTCATGCTCTCCAGTGTCGGGTCTTGATGGCTGTTACGGTGCTGGTTGTTGGCGGTGGTCCACGCGCTCTGGGTATAGGGGCGCCCTCGAAGCGATGCCAGGCCATGTGAAAATGAACGCAAGGGGAGAGTGGCGAGGACTGGGATGAGAAGGATGGGGGGTAGGAGGCGCAGGCGGCGGAAACATACAGGAAGGAGGGGGAGGAGGAGGCATGCCAGGATGACAATGACAACGACGAGGAAGGCGGTACTCAAGAAGAGTCACATGGCCCAGGAAGAGGGCGGTGGGGGGAGGTTACCCAGCTGGAGCAAGGAATATGAGGAGGGAGGGAGGCAAGACGATGTGTAGGAGCAAGGGATGGAGAAACGTGACAGGACCGTAATAGAGATGGGATGAGTATGGGGAGGCGGAGGAAGGCGACGATAATCGCAACGAATGTAATGACAGCAGTGAGTAGGAGTGCGAGGAGGGAGAGACAGGATGGGGCAATCAGACGGATGTGGGAGGTCATAGGCGGAGGGGAGAAGAGACGCACGAGGGAAGGCAATAAGATGAACTTACTGTGATGAGTGCGACCATGATCACTACGGATCAGGGGAGTATTGATGAGTTTGAGCATGGTGGGAGGTAGGAGCAGGGATAATGGACCTGGGACTCTAGAGGAAGGGAAGAGCAAGCGGATAAGGTAAGGACCAGACGACGCCCAGATGTCCCTGCGATGGTGCGATGCCCCCCCCCGCCCCCCGTCCCCTCCTCTTGGGTCCACGCAAGCATCCCCTTCACTACGGAAGCGCCGCCTGGACTGATGAGCATCTCATGGACCTGCTAGTCAGGCGAGACACCCGCATCGGAAAGTCTCTGGTCTCCGTCCTTCAAGCTATAAGAAATGTAAATATGTAAACTGGTCCAAAGCGAACATAAGTTTAACACATGTCTAAAACAATAGCCTACGTTTGAACACAAGGCGCGCTCCATACGCGGAGCTTCTGGGCATTTATATTGTTCTGGCCGTCATCAACTCTGAAGACTCGAGCAAACACCTACTGGAAACGCGCCGCCCTTCATCCATGCGAAGGCCCCATTTCGACCATGTTTTCCTGCAGGGAACCAAGTGCAGGCGGTATAATACAGGGCGAGGAGAAAGAGCGTGAGCAGGCAAGAAGAGTAGTAGGAGGAGGAAGAGGAAAAGGAGGATGGAGGATGGAAAATAGTACGAGAGGACAGAGGTGGCAGGATGGAAGAGGGACTGAGGAAGGAGGAGACATGGAGTGGAGGAGGCAGGATGGGGGATGGAGGAGGGAAGATAGAGGATGAGGAAGGCGAGGGGGTGAGAGGGAAAAACATGGAGGAAACATGGAAAACAAAGAGGACACCGAGGAAGAGCAGGAAGAGCAGGAGAAAGGAGCGGGACATAAGGAAATAAGCGAGGACGGCGGGGAGGAATAAGCGCAGGAATAGAATACGGATGAGAAGAAGGTTGGGGAGGAAGAGAGCGGCAAAAATGCGCACAACGAAGAGGGGAAGAGTCAAGAGACAGGGAGCAGGAAGGGGAGGCGGACGGAGGGAAGAGGAGAAGGGAGAACAAGGGAGGTGAACGATTAGGAGAAGGGGGTAAGGGAGCATTGAAGAGTGGGGAGGAGGGAATGACGAGAAAGGGAATGAAAGCAGGAAGAGATCCGTAACGATGGGGAAGGGAGGGAAAGGAATGAGGAGGGAGCTAGGATGTAGGGAGAAGGAGAATGAGAGGGCGGAGAGCGGTGGGAGAAAAGAACGGCGGTAGGAGGGAAGAAGGCGGGACCTATGCGGGAGGAGAGAGATCCTCTAGGCCATCTGGGCCGTCCCAGCCGGTGAGGCAGCGAGGCCATCTGGGCCCCAGGTGGCCTGGATGCTTAATCTCTAAGCCGTATCGGCCATGCGTGTCCCACATGGCCCATCTCGCCATCTAGGCCATCAACGCCATAGGCGGCCTCGATGGTTAATCTCGCCATCTAGGCGTTGTTATCGGGGGCACGTCGCCTATCTATCGGCGATGAATGGACGACTCGAGGTGTCGATGCATCTCCCCCCTGAGTCCATCTCCCCGGAACGTTGCCCCTGATCGAAGCTCGGAGGAGGACGAGAAGGAGGAGGTGGAGGAGGAGGAGGAGGAGGAGGAGGAAGAGGAGCGGGGTGGGCTGTTGGGCCCGCACCGGCGATGAGAAGGCGACACAGGGTGTCGATGCACCCCCGCTGGCTCTCGGGCCATCGCTCGGGTCTCCGACGGCCGTCAGGAACGATGCGGGTACCCCCAAAGAACGCTCTCGGCGAGGCGCAGCTGCTGGAACGCACACCGAAGCCGGACTCAACCGCCGATGGCCGACTGGCATGCCTGGCAACTTCTCGGGAGCGGCCAAAAGGGGGGCGTCCAAGAGGGGGGGGTGCAAATCATGCCCGGCGGCATGTGCGCGGCCCAGCGGGGGGGCCTGGGACGTAATGAAATACGAAGAGGCGCCATGAAATCTGAGGAAATCTCATGGCCCGCGCCATGATATCCACCCCCCCCCTAGTCATCACCCCCCTCTTTTCCGCTCCCGAACTTCAAGCCTCGACTCCGCGAAAAGCAATTCCCCCCCCCCAGCCGCCGCCCCACACCTCCTCCGAGGCCGGGGACGGACTGGCCCGCATCAGTGCACACCCGGGCCAGTCGGGCTTTGCAAGAGCCTGCAGAATCCCGCGGGATCCTGCAGGGTCCTACGCGCCAGCCCCGGTCAGTGCAACCCGGGCTCTGCAGGATCCTGCGAGGTCTGGCGCTCTGGCAGACCCCCGTTTGCATTGAACCCCGCCTCAACGATAAGCAATTCAGGTACCCCTAACCCTTGGGGAAGGACCCTAAGTTCGGAGGGCCGCACTCATTAGGGATAGGTGGTCTTCTTCTGCACACGTTTCGAGCCAGACCGCCCAGATCTGTTGCCCCTGGTGCGAAGACGGGGGCCCTCTGTGAGGCCACGCCTTCATCGTGCTATCAGGGTCAGGGGTCCGTTCGCTCTCGATGACTCGAGGCTCCCGCCGAGGGAGCGGCGACGGCGGCGACGGCGACGGCGACGGCCCCGACGAGGGCCTCGACGACGGCCTCGACGACGACGACGACGACGACGACGACGACGACGACGACGACGACGACGACGACGACAGCGCCAGCGGGGGGCCTGCGCGTCCACTCTCCTCGGCGCCGGCGGGCGGCGGCTGGCAGGAGGGCGAGGAGCGGGGCGAGGTCAAGAGAGGCGGCAGGAACAGGCCCGGGCGGAGGGCTGCGGAGCGGCCTCCCATATTCCTCCTCCTCCTCCTCCTCCTCCTCCTCCTCCTCCTCCTCCTGGCTACCCGCCAGACCAACCAAACCCCACCCGAAGACCAAGAAGTTCGGGTAGGGGATGTGCGGGCTCCCTTCGCCCTTTTTGAGCATTCGTTCTGAATCGAGGACTGCGGTCGCGTCCTCCTCCCGCCTCCCTCCTGCCTCCTCCTGTCTTGCCTGCAGGGGGGCTGCGATCTGGGAAACTGTCGCCACTTTCGAGGGCTGCTGGGGGGTCCAGCACAGTGACGTCCTAGGCAGACCCAAGCGGGACCTCGCCATCCCAGGGGGGCTGCGATCTGTGAAACCGTCGCCACTTGCGAGCGCTGCTGAAGGGTCCAGCATAGTGACGTCCTACGCAGGCTCAAATTAGACCTCGCCATGCCTGGGGGGCTGCGATCTGTGAAACTGCCCCTTTCGAAGGCTGCCCGGGGGTCCAGCACAGTGACGTCCTACGCAGACCAAAACGGGACCTCGCCGTCCCTGGGGGCATGCGATGTGTGAAACTGTCGCCACTTTCGAGGGCTGCTGGGGGGTCCAGCACAGTGACGTCCTAGGCAGACCCAAGCGGGACCTCGCCATCCCTGGGGGGCTGCGATCTGTGAAACCGTCGCCACTTTCGAGGGCCGCTGGGGGTCCAGCATAGTGACGTCCTACGCAGGCTCAAATTAGACCTCGCCATCCCTGGGGGGCTGCGATCTGTGAAACTATCGCCACTTTCGAGGCCTGCTGGGCGGTCCAGTACAGTGACGTCCTACGCAGACTCAAATGGGACCTCGCCATGCCTGGGGGGCTGCGATCTGTGAAACTGTCACCACTTATGAGGACTACCAGGGAGGGTCCCCTTACCTGGGGTCCTGGCTATGCCCGATCCTGGGGCCCCCGAAAGGACCGATCAGGGCGTCGGGAGGGGGAGGAGGGGGGGGAGGGGGAGGAGGAAGAGGAGGAGGAGGAGGAGGAGAAGGAGGAGGAGGAGGAGCAGCCGGAGGAGGAGGAGCAGCAGCAGGAGGAGGAGGAGGAAGAGGAGCAGCAGGGGGAGGAGGAGGAGGAGCAGGAGGAGGAGGAAGAGGAGGAGGAGGAGGGTCCTGGCTATACCCGATCAGGGCCCGCTTCCCTGGGAGCCCGCTTGCTTCACGACGGCCGACGCGCAACGACCCTATGGCGGCAAGCGAACGACGACGGCGGAACCAACGGCGACGGACCGCGGACGACGACGGCGGACAGCGGCCACGCGCAGAGCCCCGCGGCGCCGTTGGCGCGGCCGCGTCCCCTGCTGGGCGTCGGTCGGGCATGTCACCTTACAGGCGGATTTTAGAGGACAAATGAGAATAGTCACATCTATGAACACAGATAAATGTTGTATGTATTATTGCTGCTGGTGCCGTTATCATTACTACGATTGGTATGGTTACTGTTAATATTAATCATATCATTATTATTATTATAATTCCTATTATTAGTAATAGTGTTCGTATTGTTTATATGCTTATGTGAATTACTTTTTCTGTACATAACAAATGGTAGAAACATCGCCCCCACGCTATGCTTGGACCATCTTTGCAGACTCCTCCTGTGGAGGGACATGCCCGACTTATACTGCTGGACAACAGAGGGGCACGCGCCAAGACGGACACGGATCCTCGTGGATCTGGCGCGCGCCAGCGCCCGCTTCGCAGAGGCCATGATGCTGGGTACCAACACCAAGACGGGGGGCTGCCTCCACAGGGGAGAGATGATCCTAGATTTCGGTGCTGGTGGCAATATGTCGGTCCCCTTGGCAGCCAGAGGATTACCACCACCACCACCGAGATCGGGGCGCACCTCCCGAGGCATGAGGCCATGATGAGGCCCCAGCTGGCGACGGAACACGCCGAGTCTGGGCAGAAGCGGGAGCCGTCGCCAATCAACGTGCCTCAGCTGCGCGCCGCATCGCGCAGCTGCCAAAGGTGCCCGAGCAAGTCGGGCGCCCCCCCACCCGGGCGCCTGCGGCCGCGCATGTCGCTCGAGCGTGCCTGCCAAAAAGCCTCGAAGATCCGTGATTGCTCTTCCTCGAGCAACGACGGGGCGGCAGTCCTGTCGAGCCGCTTCTCGGCGTCCCCCTTCCGCAGGAACCTTGCGCACGCTGGCCGGGGGAGGGGAGGAGGGGGCTGGGGCAGCGGCCGGCGCCACGGGCGGCCAGCAGGTCTTTCGCCGTGCACCCCAGAGTTGCGGAAGAGGCGCCATGAGACCTGGGGAAATATCATGGCCCACGCCATGATGCCCCCCCCCCCTAGTCATCACCCCCCTCTTTTCCGCCCCCGAAACGCGGCCCGGGAGGAACAGAACCTGTCCTGGGGGAGGGGCCCCGGGGCCTGCTTCACTCAGGACCCGCTTGCCTCGTGCCAAGCTGACACAGCCCTCGCAGGCTGGACACCGGTGCCCCCTCCCGTGGATGTGCGATCCTGTGAGGCACTCACAGGTCGCGCAGCCGTGGGATCGCGCCTCGGCGTCCACTCCTGGTGAGTGCACTTACGTGGCATCCGCGCAGGCCCGCCCCGCAGCCAGGGGGCCTCGGCCGAGGGGAGGAGCCCCGACCGCGAGGACGCTTCCCCGCCCGCGCGGGAACGAAGAAGGACGTACTCGTGCTGTATGCTGCTGTTGGGGACGCCAGCACAAAACGACCATACAAGAGGAGGAGGAGGAGGAGGAGGAGGAGGAGGAGGAGGAGGAGGAGGAGGCGAGGAGGAGGAGGAGGAGGAGAAGGGGGAGGAGGAGCAGGAGGAGGAGGACAAATCTTGCAGTACTTGCATCGTTCCCCGAGCGGCAAGGCCAGGAAAAGCCCGCCCCCGCGCATGCACGATCTGATATTTCTCAGCGCACGAATACTTAGCCCCTTTGGGGGGCCACGCACACCAACTACGAGCATGTTTGGGTGACGCAGAGATGTGGACGGGGATGGGGATAGGGATCGGTTAAACGATACGGAGTGGGGGTCGCGGGCCTACAACAGGCGGGGGTACACCAGAGACAGCAGTCAGCCCGTATAAGTATTGAGCAGGGACCGACCGTCCTGGCAGTCCTTTAGGCCTACCACGAAATATCCGTAGAGCCCCACACATATATCTAAGAACCCTACCAAGGCTCTTCACACAGGAGCCCGATGTGTTAAGACAGGGCGGACTCAGCCAGGAATGTTACAAGAACAGTTCGTGCAGACCACAAAAAAAGGGTCTCATAACATTATTTGGTGGGCCCATCGGCAAACCTGGACGCTTCGCCACTGCTTGGTGATGATGACGCGCGATCAGGCTGGAAATGTTCTACCCCTGGGATATGAACTGTTCCAGGCGTCCTCGGGCGGCGGACCCCGGCGGCAGAAACGTTGATGTCCGCTGAGCTCAGAAGAGCGATGGGCAAGGACAAAAGCACCGTGAACAGGTCCCGATGTGAGGGTCGGTAGGTAGCAGTAGGTCTCCTCCTCCTCCTCATCCTCCTCCTCCCCCTCCTCCCCCTCCTCCTCCTCCTCTAAGACGAAGCCGGGATCGGGGCAAAATTTGACCGGGATAAAAATCATGCTCGGTTTTTCAAATCGCCGGGGGCGCCGCCGAACGGGCCTGCCATGCCTTGGGCGCCATCGGCTTCGCGAGGGAAGAAAAGCGCCCCGGCGCGGATGAAGCCACGGCGCGTATTTGGCCACGCGCACGACCGAGGGAATTCAGCGCCAAGCGCCTTTCACTCCAGAAGACCCGACGTCAACAAAACAAACTTGAGGCCCAAAGGGGGCCCCAAGGAGGCGGACCGCCAAAGCAATCGCGCAACCAACGCAACGAAAAAAACACGAAAATGTCAAACATCGCGTTACTCAGTGACCTCTTCGGCCAAGCAACACCGCGATAATGCCCAAGACGGCATTGGAAAACAAGTCACGCGCGCGGCCAGGCGACTTCCCCGCGCCGCCCCAAGGTTCCTGAAACGCGCCGAAATAACCGTAGAGAACACCCCGGAAAGTCTTTAGAAAATCCCCGCGCCATGCAAGATCCGCCACCGAACAATCTCGCGGACACCTAGCGCGTGCGCGCGGGCGTCCACCATGGATGCCCAACTCCGGTTTCCGAGACAATCGCGCGCAACCGCCTGGTGGGCTCGGCAACCTCGCAATTGGCCTAGGGGACCGCGGGCCCCAGGGAATCGAAGACCGAGTTCGCAACTCCGGAAGCATCGGGCGCGGCGCCAGGCATTCGCTCGTCTCTGGCTGACAGTAGGACGCCTGGAGACCCGGTAAAACCTAAGGAACCGCTTTTCAGAGATTCACAGAACCAGAAACCGGGGCGCGCCAAATTCTCGCGTCCGAACTTCTCTGAGAATCTCTGAAAATCTCTGGACTAGCCACCCCGCGTGAAACATTCCCATAAACCCAAAACCTCGGAGCTGGCCGAAACTCTCTGAGAGTTTTTCGGCCCGTGAAATTTGGCGCGCCCGGATTTCTGGTTCCGAGATCCTCTGAGATCGCGCCGCGGCGGCGCCCAGCGGGTCCTCGCGCGCCCAGGCTGGGGGCCGTGGACATCGCGGGCCGCGATGGTCCCGACCGCGAGGTCCTTCCTCCTGCCCCTCCACGAGTCCACGCTCATGGACCCGCTCTCTGCGCTGAGCGTGGACCGCGCCATCCGCCGGTACTTCTGCGCGACGACAGCCAACTGGCCGCCGACGGACAAGGCGAATTTTCTCTGAGCTGCGCGTGCCACCGAAAACGTTCAATACCCCCGGGCTCGGGGAGAAACACTTTCGAAGCATTTTCAGGCCGCCAGCGTCGTGGCCGCCGACCCGCCGCGCGCCGACCGAGAGACTAGCTTGGTCCACTACGTCCACGGCGGCGGGCGGGCGCCCAAGAGAGATGTCGCCACGGTGCGCGCGGCGGGGCGCCCGCCCACCGGCAACCGCAAATGCGGCCTCCATGGCGCCACAGGCGTAATATGTGTGACGCATTCTCGGGCCCCCCATCAGCGCATTGGCCGGCGCCCAAGTCCCTGAAACGCAAACCTACTGCGCCCCCCGTGCAAGACGCGCACCCGCTCACAATGCTCGTGCACACCAGATTTTCTGCCCGCCCTCAACAGTTTAATTGAGCGCCCATGTGTTACTTGGGCTCCTCAAGCCCTCGAACACTCTTTGGGAACTTCTGCGAATGCGCGCGCGACGCTCCACAAATCGGCGTTCTATTTTTCTCTGGAACTCTCCCAAGATCTCTGGTTCCGATTTGTCCCGATCTTCCGCTCAACTGATCCTCCTCCTCCTCCTCCTCCTCCATCCTCCCTCCTCCTCCTCCTCCTCCTCCTCCTCCTCCTCCTCCTCCTCCGTCTCCTCCTCCCCCCTTTGCAAGGCCAAGTCAACACTTTGCGAGCGGGGCGCGGCCAGCGACAGCGGCCGAGGACGGGCCGAAAGGGAAGGACGCAAGGGCAACCTTGGAAAAGATCGCTCATCCTTACTATGCGGATGGACTGTGTGTGCATCTCCGCTTCTGGCGGGATCGACTTCTGGGAGCGCCTGCGTACGAGCGAGCCGGAGTGACTCAGCACGGACGGGTCTGGCTGCAAGAGGATCTGGGCACGAAAGGACCTCTGCTAGCGGCCCCCTTGTCTCTCGGATGCCCAGGTGCCATGCGTGCACGGTCATGGGGCCTTGAAGAAGACCCGTCTACCCGGCCGGCCAATACATAACTCGACCTGAGGGGTCCCGAGGATCTAGGCGCGAGCGGGCCGTCGTCATACCCCGTGGCGGCTCCCCCTCGAGGTGCCCAAGAGCTGCGCCTGCTACGTCACGATGGTCATGAGGCTACGACGAAATACGCGTCTACCCCCCCCCAAAAACGGGAAAGGTGCCTGAGAGTTCCCGACACTCTGAGCACGAGCACGTCCGTAATATACCATTGATCGGCTCTCCATGGGAGGCGTAAATAGCATGCATAGACCATCACGACGGGTCCATGGAAAGAGGCACGACTATCCAACCAATCATTCTGACTGAAATTTCCAAACGCGTTGAGACGCGAACGGGCCCGAGAAACCCATTGGTCGGCTCCCACTTGGGAGGCTCAAGAGCCATGTCTGCCACATCGCCGAGGTCTTGTGGGAAAAAAAACACACAGAGTCTGTGGGGGAAAAAAACACACAGTGGGGGAAAAACACACGCACAGGTGTTTTTTTTTGTATTTTTGTTGTGTGTGTTTTGTGTGTGTGTGTGTGTGTTTTGTGTGTGTGTGTGTGTGTGTGTGTGTGTGTGTGTGTGTGTGTGTGTGTGTGTGTGTGTGTGTGTGTGTGTGTGTGTGTGTGTGTGTTTTGTGTGTTGTTTTATGTGTGTTTCTTGTGTTTTTGTGTGTGATTGTTTGTACGTTTTTCCCACAGACCCTGAAAAGGAGCACGTCTGCCCCCATGACGGCAATTCCTCGTGAGAGTTCCCGACGACCTGAGCTTGAGCCGGCGCGTCCAGCACGCCCGGCCGCCCCCCCCTGTGGGCAGCCAAAAAGGCCACGCGTGTGCTACGTGTCGGCGACCACGGACGTCTGAGAATGAAGGCATGCGTGTCAAATCCAAACTTTTTGGTCTGCGGGTCGGGCGCGGGCCCCTTCCGGTCAAGAGCTAGACGGTACGCGGGTAGCCCTAATTGGGGAGGCAGAGCGCGGGCGGGCGGGACCTCAGGCGGCCGGAGGGCTCAGAGTACAGGACAAATGTCAAATCCAAACAGGCGTGTGTCTAACTATGAGTTTCTGACTGCGGGTGACATGTATGCGCATACGTTTGAACAAGATGGGTACGAATGTGATCGGTATGTGCAAGTGGCCCGCATGTCTCAGTCCGGCTCTGGCGATGCTGGATAAGAGCGGATCTCAACGTGGGTGGTCTGAGCAAGAGCGAAGCTGAGCACACGAGCCGGAGCGTGATTGGGCCCAAAAGCGCAACGAGTCTGAGTGTCCTGAGCGCCCCTCCTGCGGACAGTCCGCCAACAGTGCCTGCACCGAGGGCTTCTTCCTGCTGTGGCGCAGGCGAGCTGCATGGGCGCGGCGGGGTTTCGCCACGCAGTGGGCCCGTGCCGCCTCGTGGGCGTGCCTCGTGGGCGTCCCGCCCGGCGGGGGCACGGCGGGGCCACGCCGCCTTACGTGCCTGAGCCGCCTCGTGGGCGCCTCGCGGGCTCCCCGCGGGCACCACACAGCTTGCACCCCTGCAGTTTGCACCGCCCACTCACACCACATGGCGCGCACGCCGTAGACAGCGGCACACGGCTGGCACCACGCACGTGAGCCTCTCGAATAAAGCATGAGCAGCCTCCGTCCTGAACACAGGACTTCCCGGGCCACCCTGGGGCAGTCATTTTCCCTATGAAACCATACAGTCGATGCCGACCGAATATGGACCTCCCTTCGCCCTTGGCGGATAGTGCGAAGTTCCTGCACTCGCTGTTCTCATTTTTAGTTTCAAACATCGTTTGCAAAAGTAGCACAAGGTCCCAACAAGACGCCTGTACATACGACCCTCATTTTGCGCATGAACGCAATGTGCCTTCCGCAAGAAACATTGTGTATGCTCAAAAAACATATGTCTGCCGCAATCCCATCATGAACCCGCGTTCTCATCTCACCACACGTTGCGTCTGCGTTGATCCAGCATGCGCCCCGTGCACGGACCCGTATTTTTAAGAACCATGCGGGCCACGCGCGCGCGCCGCGCCACGCGCGTGTCGAAACTCTTCCCAAACAAGTGGTTCTCGCAACGTTTCAACATAGAGCTTTGCAAGAGACCTGTGCAAACTGTGTCTCCAATATCTGCCCGATGCCCTGAATTTCTACGCGCGCGCACTTCCTCCCCATCACCCACATTTGCGCCATCGCATCACCGCCATTGCCGCCATCGCCAACCGCCGAAAACTGCCGCCGTCACCAAACAACCAATTTCATCACCGACACATGGAAATCATAAGCGTCATCGTCGTGACCAATGTCGTTGCCGTCATCGTCCTTTCCGCCGCAACCGTCATCATCGCCACCACCACCGTTACTGTCATTGTCGTTGCCGCCACTGCCGACGCCATGATGATGTCGCTCGCGTCCGCCCGGATCACCGCGCCCGGCTCTGAACTGCCAGCGCTCGAGCGCGGCCTCAGAGTCTCATCGGCAAGCGCCTTCGCGGCAGCATCAGTTGTGCCAAGCCAGGTGGCCGCTCTGCGCGCGGGATTGTGCGCGCCAGCGCCGCCGCAGAGATGCGCCAGCCAGAGCAAACAGTCACGACAACCAGGGCCGCATCGGCTTTGCCAAAACAAGTTGGGGGTGCGAGGGTGGTATAATTGCGCGAGCACTGGAGTTGACAACTCACAGGTTGGCAAGCATTATTTATGCCACATCCCTCTCACCAGATATTTTCGCCTGTCAAAATAGGAATGAAGTCTACCACCATCCCCCCAAGGGTTATCCACACCCCCTGGAACACAACAACATACGTGCGATTCTGCCCCATCGCTCAGGTTCCATATAAAACCATACCACCTCAACCTGGCAGGTATCGGCCCCTCCCCCGATCCCTGTCGGATGAGAATCCCATGCGCGCAGTCGTGTATCTCAATAGTAAAGGTTGCAAATAGATGTTTGCAAAAATGTGCCCCAGAGCCAACACCCGCGCGCACATGTCCACATCATACCGACCACACGCGGGTTGCCAACGCTTCGACATGAACGCGTCAAGCACCCATAGGTTGCCCATCTGATAGTTCAGCTCATTTCTGCCCGCGCCCACTTGTTGGAGCCACACGAGCACTTAGCAAGATTGTCCAGGACCCGCTATCTCATCCCACCACGCGCCACCCGCGCGCCAACACGCGTGCGTGCTGAAACCAATTGAAGGCGCCCTGGGACACACAAAGAATACACACAAATACGAGGATTCCCCCTATGTTCCCATATGTCCTCGGTTTTCGTCTTCCCCCCAACTTCCCATATTTCCCAACATTATCTTGGCAATCGAAGATTCCTTGTGTCTGTGTGTTTTTGTTCCTCTTGGCCAATGTTCAACACCATGTGCTCTCGACGCACTTCGAGGCATCCGCCGCCGCGCATGCAGCGGTTGGTGCGCGCCCGGCCCCGCCGCCTCTCGCGAAGCCCGCCGCCGCCGACGATGACGGCGGCGGCGGCGGACAGACGACGACGACGACGACGACGACGACGACGACGACGACGACGACGACGACGACGACAACGACGACGACGACGACTGCGGCGGCGGCGGCCGCGGCGGCGGCGGCGGCGGCGGCGGACGGCGTCGGGCTGGGCTGGCGCGCGCCCCCTGGAGAAGTCGGGCGCCAGCTTCGTGCAGAGCTCCTCGGGGGGAGGCGGCCTCGCCTCCTCCCCCTCCTCCTCCTCCTCCCTCCTCCTCCTCCTCCTCCTCCTCCTCCTCTCCCCTCCTCCTCCTCCTCCTCCTCCTCCTCCTCCGCCTCCCTCCTCCCCCTCCCCCCTCCTCTCCCTCCCTCTTCCCTCCTCTCCCTCCTCCCTCCTCGCCGCGGCGGCGGAGAGGGACTGGTGTGCCCCTGCCTGCCCTCGCGAGCACCTCCGTGGAGGGGAGGAGCTCCGCTGCGTTTGACAGTGCCCATCGGTCGGAGGAAGCAGGTAGAAGCAGGAAGTACGAGGGCGCTGAAAGCAGACTGGGTTCCGCCAGCCCCCTTTTGGAGGAGGGAAGAGTGAAAACCACTCGACGCTTGAAGCAAGAATGCGCGTCAGGTAGATTGGAATCTGGGACTCCCCGAATACCTACTTTCAACGACCGATGGGTAAGCTTGTGTCGGGTGTCTTCTGACCCGGGTAATCCAGCCTCAGGGCAATCGAGCCTTACAGGATCCTGCATGATCCTGCACCACAGCCCGGGTCAATGCAACACTGGCTCTGCAGGATCCTGCGAGATCCGGCGCCCTGGCTGACCCCTGTCTGAATTGACCCCCGTCTCTTGAGCCTCGGGTGTGGGGGGGGCGCCACCCTCACCGGCAGCCCCGACCGACCCCCGTCGCTAGAGGCCTCCTAGATGGGGTCCGAGCAGGTGGGGTCGGAAGATCGCGCCGCGTCGCCGGTACATCGGGGATGCATCGCCGATGCATCCCCGAACTCGGCGAGGCATCGGCGACACCGGTGTGGAGAAAGGCGAGCTCCACATCGAGACGAATAGTCGATGCATCGGCAACCTGGAGCGATCCTTCCCCCCCTTGGGAGGCCTCGAATCGCGGGGAACTGTTGTCGCGCCAAGAACGGCCCCCCCTTGCCTCGGCGCGCCGACGGGGCGGATCTGACCCCCGCCGCACCGCGCGGACAGGTTGACGTTGACCCCTCGTCGGGGGTCGGGGGGACCACCCCCCCACCGCGTAGAACTGGCTACCGAACGCAGGGAGTTGGGGAGGATCGCATCGAGGGGGGGAGGCGGTTGCTGAAGGTGTCCCAGACCCAAGGTGCACCCAGCTTTTGTTGGCTCCACTCTGGGGCCCCTCGGGGCCCTCTGGGCCTGGCGAGGGTGCTCTGGAGGTCGTGGGAACCTACGTGGAACTCTTGAGGACACCTTGGGCCAAAGGTACTTCTGGCAACACCCGATGAGGGCCAACGTTGGGGAAGGGACCGGCTCAGGGGTGGAAGCATCGACTTGGAATCGGCGATGCATCGCCGATAGATCGGCGATAGGCCCTCAAGGGCGACACCTCACGGTCCTGGGCGGGGTGGCCTTTCTGGCCCATGTCGACGATCAATGGGCGATCGGGGGTTGATGCATCCCCCACTGAGCCTATCCCCACCTAACGTCGCCCCTGGCCCCCTTACGCAGTTGTGCAATCAATCGCTCTGGTGTCCCCGACTGTAACCACCATGGCGCTGGGGTGGAGATGTGTCGTGGCCACTGGCACGGTCGCGGCCATGGTCGCAGTGGTCGCCGTTGCCACCGCCCACATTGTCGTAGCCGTTGTGATCGCCGCCGAACAGCGGTGGGAAACAAAGGACGGCAACAATGGCACACGGCACCGTGACGGTTAAACAACTTAGTCGAGTTTCTGCCTCTGGTGCCGGGAGGGCCAACACGGTTGCAGGACCGCGCGGTATCGGTACCAGTATGCCAGTATGCCCACGCGTCAACGGCACATCTCCTATCTCTTCCTCCTCTTTCTCCCCCTCTCTTCTCCCCTATACCTCCTAGCCCCCCTCCTTATTAAGGGGGGCAAGGAGGAGGGAGGAGGAGGAGGAGGAGGAGGAGGAGGAGGAGGAAGAGGCGGAAAAGAAGGAGGCTGAGGAGGAGGAGGAGGAGGAGGAGGAGGCGGAGGAGAAGGAGGAGCAGGGACCAGGGGGAGGAGAGGGGGAGGAGAGGGAGGAGCGCAGAGACGAGGGGACCGCACTCGTCGCAGGAGGGAGAACACGACAGCGGCAGCCCCCGCGCCGTCGTGCTCCTCGCCCTCCCCCCCTGAAGGGGCCCAAGGACACACAAATAAATTATGTTTTTTTTTGTTTTCTGGGTTTTCGTCTTCCCCCCCAGTTCCCGCAGTTTCCCATATGTTCTGGGGAATCGACGATTACTTGTGTCTGTGTGTTTCTTTCCCTCCTGACCCCCTCGCCTCCAGATGCTCTTCCGCCCCCCCACCCCCCGCTGCTCGGCGCGGCCGACCGGGGCGCCGAGCCCGCGGCTCGTCGATGCTCGGCGCAACGCGCGCGGCCCGCATGCTGCGCGCGCGGGCGCGAGCGGCGCCGGCGGGGCGGCGAGCAAGGGGCGGCCGGCACCACTGAAGGGGCCCTGGGACACACAAAGAAATACATACAAATAACAGGGTTCTCCATATGTTCCTATATTTTCTGGGTTTCTGTCTTCCCCCCCCCACTTCCCATATGTTCTCACATTTTCTGGGGAATCGACGAACCATTGTGTCTGTGTGTTCTTTCCCCTCCTGAGTGAGACCCTGGCGTCGCCAGGCTGCAGCTGGGCGAAGGGCAGAAGAACCCCCTGCCAAGAGCACGAGGGGGCCTCCACCAGCCATTAATGGCCAGGAAAAACAAATGCCCAATCTCAAAATCGCGGATTCACCGAGGACTCGAACATCGGCGAAATATGTCGGGGTATGGTCTACGTTCGTCGTTGTCCCCGTTGCAAGACCCTACCCCGAAATCTCCCTCCCCGAAGTCTCGAGGAGCCTGCGTTATCTTCTGGCCCTCGCATTTTCGGGATTGGGCGTCTGTTCTGAGTTGGTGAATCAACCGAAGGGCATCTGCATCAACCGAGGCTGGCCCAGGAGGAGGAGGAGGAGGACGAGGAGGAGGAGGAGGAGGAGGAGGAGAGGGAGGAGGGAGGAGGGAGGAGGGAGGAGGAGGAAGGAGGGAGGAGGGAGGAGGGAGGAGGGAGGAGGGAGGAGGGAGGAGGGGCTGCTCTCTTGCGCCACCGGGCGCCCTCGCCCCGGGTCGGGCCCCGGGGCTCCCCAAACGGAGGCATCGCTGCGTGCATCGAGGGCAGAGCCCGGGAGGCTGGGGCCCGCAGGGCGACCCTGGTCGCGAGCTTCCGCGTGACCGAACTTGTTCGCGACGCGCCCGATCTCGGGGATGGGCATCGTTGAGACGGTCCCTGTCCCCACGGCCGCGGCCTGAGCCCCCTTGGCCGGTTCCCCCCCCCCCTCCACCAGGTTGCTTCCTTCAGGTTTCGGAGGGGCATGTCCCCCACTGGGGTGGTGGGACGGTGGGGATCGGGCTCAGACGAGGATGGAGCTCGGTTGAGCGCGACTGAGCCAGGGAGGATCGGAGGGGATTGGCGGGCCCCCGTCAGCACCCGACTTTCCACGTTGAGTGCGCGCAGATCCCCTCCAACTGGCCTCCGGACCATGGGCCAAGCCCCGCGCAGTCCTTCGGGGGCGATCCTGGCCTCCCCGCAAGGCTCTCGACGAGGCGCAGAACATTGACACCGACGCATCCACGGGATCGGTTGAACGATACAATCGGCCCGTATCAGAAGGATGCGCGATAAGGACGCAAGGGCCTTGGAGGGCCCATGTCGAAGCGCTTTGAGCGGGGCGCGGCCCACGAAAGTGGCCAAGGATGGACCGAGGAAGTAATCATGCAAGGGTACCCTTGGGAGGGTTACTTATGTTTGCTATACGGGTCGATTGATTTTTTTCTCTACGCTTTGGATCCTGCTTGCTTGAGCCTTCGGAGGCCCCCGAAAGTCGTCGTCATCCTTGGCCCTCCTCCTCCTCCTCCTCCTCGGCTTCCTCCTCCTCCGCCACCCTCTCCCTTCGTCGTCCGTCCTCTTGCCCTGCTGCGCGGGTGCCCCTGGGAAGGCTGCCCATCCTTCCCACAGTCAAGAACCCTAATGAGGACGCGCGGTGAGGACGCTGGACCCTTGGAAACCGAAGTTGGGATTTTTGGGGCGGCGGGCGACGAAAACCTCAAGGACGCAAGAGCAGGGAAGAGCAAGGACGCAAGGGTACCCTGAGCAAAGTCGCGCGTCCTTATGAAGGTTTTTGACCGCATGCGGGTCGACCGTGCTGAGGGATCGCGAGGGGCGGGCGGCTCCGCGTCGTCCAGCGCCTCCACGGGCCGAGACAGGCGCAGCCAGCAGGCGCTCCTGACCCCGCGGCGGCGGGGCGGGGCCGCGGCGGGCCGCGGCGGGGAGGGGGGAGGGGTGGGGAGGAAAAGGAGGAGGAGGAGGAGGAGGAGGAGGAGGCGGAGGAGGAGGAGGCGGAGGAGGAGGAGGCGGAGGAGGAGGGGAGGAGGAGGAGGAGGAGGAGGAGGAAAGGGAGGAGCTGAGCTCATGAACAGGCATCGGTCGCAATTGAGCGTGCTACGTGGACTTACGCAGGCCGTTGTCAGGAAACACAATGATTTGGAGCTTGGGGGGCGCCTCAAGTATGCCGGGGCTTTTGTGCCACAGCAGGGTGATGTTCCATTGCGCCGTTTGGGGGGGCCTCACTAGCAGCAACCTCGATTTTCTTGAGAGCTCAGATCTTGCTTCCATGAGGGCCGCGTTAGGATACAAGAAGCAAGGTGACGAGTTCTTGGAAGCGTCCAAGGCGGAGGTGTACGTTGCTTGTGGGCGACTCCCTGCAGGAATCATTCTGAAGTTGAGGCGTCTTCGGTTTGTGCAGAGGCTGATGGGTTTTGCTTCACCTTCTCTCCTGTTCATGCTCGACTCTCTTGTGCATAAGAAGGGTTCGTGGTCGGCTCTGTCGTACTCGGACATTATTTGGATGCCTGAGCACGTGACTGTGCCCAAATAGTGGAACCCAGTCGGAGACTTGTCTTGGTGGCTGTCTGTGGCTCGTCAAGATAAGACACACTGGATCGCTTGGTGCAGGGAGGCGGAGCGTACCGCAAAACATGATGCTCAAACCGATGCGGAGACCAATGTTTGGCGGGCCCGACTCGTCGAGGTGTGCAAGCAAACCGGCTTGCCAGTGCCTCCAATTTTTAGGCATGAGAACTCCGATATCGTATTTCATTGCCGTGATTGCGACATGGTGTTCAATTCGAAGGCTGCCTGGTCGCGTCATCGAAGCATCAAGCATCCGCAGTATGATGCCGCTGGATCATATGCTTTAGGGACCATTTGCCAAGCCTGCGGATATCAGTGGCACTCGAGGGACGGCTTCTGAGACACCTTCGGTTTGGATCGAAGTCGTGTCTGGCGGTTCTTGCTTCGCACTTGCAGCCCCTGCCAGTTTGCAAAATTCTCGAGCTGAGAGAGGCTGACGCTAAAGAAGCCAAGGCTGTGAGAGCAGCCACAGGGATTCAGCTGGCTGCGGATTTGCCGCCCTGCAGGATTATTGGGCCCACCCTAGGCGGGCCGCCAACCGTCGACGTTTCACGGGCGACCACGGTGCGGGTTGAAAGGTCGTCGTTCGTGTCGGAGAATGTCGTGTGCCTCGAACTTCTACCGAGACGCGCTATTTTCTTCATTTTTCATTAGATAGCGCAGGCGGTGTGATGTCCAATGGTACTTTGACGAACCTCAGGAGGTCTCGGTGGCCAGTCGTTTTGTGGTCGGTCGACGCCGCTAATGCTCCTACTGAGGGCAACCTCACGCGAACTGATTCAACACATGTGTGTTTACGCATGCTTTGGGCGAAACACGCGGTGGATGCTCTCGGCGGCCCGCCATGTAGCACGTGGTCCAAAGGTCGTGCCAACCCGCCGCCCCGATATGGGTCTCGCCCACGCGTTGTACGTTCCGCGGCCCGGCCCTGGGTCCTCCCCGCGCGCACTGCCAAAGAAAGGAGGGCGGTGACGCCGGGGAATCGTCGTTTGCAGACCAGTGCGCATGCTGCACACGTCTGTGTAGCCACGGGTGCAGCGTGCATCATGGAGCACCGGGTCGCTCCTGAGGAGGCGCATGTGCCGTCTGTGCGGAGGCTGCCAAGAGGCCAGGGCCCTTTGGACCTTTGGTGAACGTGCCCGTTTTATCAACATCGATCAATGCACTTGCGGAGCACCTTCCCGCAAACCGACCATTTTAATGGCAATACATGTTGATTCGACTGTTGAACGTTGCAACGCTTTGCCTGGCAGGGGACGGTGTGCCTGCTCGTCCCACAGCGCTGAACTCGCGGGCAGTTTGTCGGATGGGTCGGTTCGGACTGCGTATGCCAAGCAGTACCCACCCCGTCTGTCGAGTATTTTGGCGCAGGCTTTGATGCGTTCAATGAGGGGGTTGCAGCAGGTTCGTAAGCCGCCTGCTATGTGTGAATATCTGGTCAGGTTCTTCGTTCCGTTCGACCAGTATTACAGCCAGCACGGATGGAACCCGATTGCCCCTGATACGGCAGGGGCGGCAGATTTGAGTTGATCGAGATGCAGTTCCAGGCCCAACTCTGGCGCATGCTTCGTCAGTGCAGTTTCGTCTTCAGTCGGTGTCGGAAGAAAAAGGGACTGGGAGGACGAGGAGGAAAGGGAGGGCAAGGAGCGGTGAGGAGGGAAGAGGGAGGAGGGGGAGGAGGAGGAGGAGGAGGAGGAGGGAGATGAGTAGGACGAGGAGGAGGAGGAGGAGGAGGAGGAGGAGGAGGAGGAGGAGGAAGATGAGGAGAAGGAGGAGGAGGAGAAGACGGAGGAGGACGAGGAACAGGAGGAGGAGGAGGAGAGGGAAAATGAGGAGTGGAAGGATGAGAGGAGGATGACGAAGAGGAACAGGAGGAGGAGGAGGAGGAGGAGGAATTGGAGGAGCACGGGAAGGAGGAGGCGTAAGAGGAGAAAAGCGAAGAGGAGGAGGCGGAGGAACACAAGGGATATGAGGAGGAGGACGAGGAACAGGAGGAGGAGGAGGAAGAGGAGAAGGACGATGAGGATGAGCAGGATAAGGAGGAGGACGACGACGATGAGGAATGAGGGATGAGAGATGAGGGATGATGATGGTGATATTGAGGATGCTGACGATGATGATGATGATGATGATGATGATGATGATGAAGCTGATGATCGTGGCGCTGATGATGCTGATGATGATGAGAAGGAGGAGGAAGAGGAGCGGTGAGGATGGAGGTGGGAGGAGGCGAAGAAGGATGAGGAAGAGGAGGAGGGGGAGGAGGGGGTGGGAGGAGGACGAGGAGCGGGAGGAGGAGGAGGAGGAGAAGGAAGATAATGAGGAGGAGGAGTAGGAGGAGGAGGACGACGACGACGAGGAGGAACATGAGGAGGACGATGAGGAGGAGAAGGAGGAGGCGGAGGAGGAGAGGAGAGATGAGGATGATGAGGAGACGAGGAGGAGGAGAAGGAGGATGAGGCCGAGGAACAAGAGGCGGAGGAGGAGGACGAGGAACAGGAGTTTTTAAACCCGCGTGCTCCCGCCCGTGAGTGGGCGCCCCTGGTCTCGGCATCCCGCGCAGGCAGAACGGCCCGAGGCGGGGTGGGCCAGCGGCCTCATCTCACGGCGTCGTACTGCCGCCACCCAATGACTCATGGAGTCGCCCCGTGAGCGGCGGCAGTCTGAAGATATGCTGCCGCCGCCCTCTCAGAGCTTGAGGAGCAGCCTGATGGACGGCCGCAGCCGCTCCTCCGCTCTGCGCTCTTCCACGGACCGCCCTGGCCGCTGGCCCCTGGACTCGCGGGCCTTCACGGCCGCCTTGCCTGGCGCAGGGCTGTGGCCTAACCCCTCGCCACGCTGGGGTGCATTGCGGCCTAGCCCCTCGCCGCGCACGGGTCCTCCGTGGCCTAACCCCTCGCCGCGCTGGGGCCTGCTGCGGTCTGGCCCCTCACCGCGCTGGGGTGCTCCGTGGTGGCCTAACCCCTCGCCACGCAGGGGTCTGTTGCGGTCTAACCCCTCACCGCGCTGGGGTCCGTCGTGGCCTGACCCCTCGCCACACTGGGGGTCGGCGCGGTCTAACCCCTCACCGCGCTGGGGAAAATCGTGGCCTAGCCCCTCGCCACGCTGGGGGCTGCTGCGGTCTAGCCCCTCACCGCGCTGGGGTGCTCCGTGGCCTAACCCCTCGCCGCGCAGGGGCCTATTGCGGTCTAACCCCTCGCCGCGCTGGGGTCCCACGTGGCCTAACCCATCGCCACGCAGGGGCCTGCTGCGGTCTAACCCCTCACCACTATGGGGACCACCGTGGCCTAACCCCTCGCCACGCTGGGGATCGTCGCGGTCTAACCCCTCACCGCGCCGGGGTACTCCGTGGCCTAACCCCTCGCCACGCTGGGGCCTGCTGCGGTCTAACCCCTCACCGCGCGGGGGTACGCCGAGTCTCGCACTGCCCCCGTCCTCGGTGCTACTGCCCACTGGCTCGGGCGAGGTCCCCCGACTATGCCACTCGCTGTGTTCGCGCTTCACGTGGTATCCGCGGGCCAAGCCCTCCCCCTCGCGTTCAGTCTGTCGGTTTCCCAGGGTATGGGTCCGCTCTGTTAGTTGCGAGGTCCTGTCTACCACACTGTTGGTCAAAAGGTCCGCGTCATGCTCACTGGGCTCGTCAGGGACCTCCGCCTCGAGCCTCTGCTTGCCATTGGCACTGCGGTCTACCCCCTCACCGCGCAGGGGATTGCCGTGGCCTCGCCCCTCGCCGCGCAGGGGTTCCATGCGGTCTAACCCCTCACCGCGCTGGGGAAAATCGCCGAAAAACTTCTCCAAGTCCCGCTGCAGGTCTGTGTCGTCGTAGTCTGCCGTCGTCTCGGGCTGCGCAGTTTTGTGGCCTAACCCCTCGCCACGCGGGGGAACGCCGAGTCTCGCACTGCCCCCATCCTCGGTGCTACTGCCCACTGGCTCGGGCGAGGTCCCCCGACTATGCCACTCGCTGTGTTCGCGCTTCACGTGGCTTCCGCGGGCCAAGCCCTCCCCCTCGCGTTCAGTCTGTCGGTTTCCCAGGGTATGGGTCCGCTCTGTTAGTTGCGAGGTCCTGTCTACCACACTGTTGGTCAAAAGGTCCGCGTCATGCTCACTGGGCTCGTTAGGGGCCTCCGCCTCGAGCCTCTGCTTGCCATTGGCACTGCGGTCTATCCCCTCACCGCGCTGGGGTCCTCCGTGGCCTAACCCCTCGCCACGCTGGGGTCCTCTGCGGTCTGCCAGGTGGTACCCTATGCTGTGCTGTGCATCTGGGATCTGCTGGTGGCTGTCATCGCTGCCCTGCTTGTCTACGGGCTGCTGGAGGCAATCCTCGCTGTTCTCCTCTTCAAGGAAGTGGTCGAGGTCTGCCATGTCCATGGTGCTCCGTCCTGCTGGTGGGGGACGGGCGCAGGGCTGTGGCCTAACCCCTCGCCACGCTGGGGTCCTCTGCGGCCTACCACCTCGCCGCGCAGGGGCCCATGGTGGCCTGTCCCCTCTCCGCACAGGGGCCTGCTGGATGGTTTCTGCTGCTCCTCCGCCCTTCCCGCCTCCAGGGACCGCTCTGGCTGCGGTACCCTGGGCCCCCTGGGCCTCTCGAGCTCGGGCGCTGGCGCTGCCGTGCGCAGCTCGGCGGGGCTGCTGGTGGCCCTGGCCTCTGGGTTCCTCCTCGGCTGTCTGGCTGGAGCCCTGCTTGGCACTCGCACTGCTGCTTGCGGTCGCGGGCTGCGGCTCCTCACCACTGGCTCAGTCACGCCCAAGAACTGCTCAGCCATTGATCTGCGCCGCTCTGCCTCCTTCGGGTCCTGCTGCTGGATCTGCCTGCGCGCCTCTCCGCTGTTGAGCCATGCCAGGCGGCAGATCTCCTCCGCCGCTCGGCGCTGGCTGCGCTGGCGGCTCGGCCCTGACACGTTGCTGAACAGCCTCTGGTAGACGCCAGTCTGCAGCGCCCTCAGCACATGGGGCACGCACGCAGCCTGCCACGATGGCCAGCCCTGTTCGCCCTCTTTCTGGCTCCAGCAGCCTGCCAGCGACTGCATGAGCTGCTCGAGCCTGTTCCTCTCGAGCCACGCCACCTCCTGCTCGGGGTCCTGGTCAGCTTCTCCTTGGCTGTGTCGAAGCCTTGGGTGGAGCAGGCCGGCCTCATCGGCTTCGCTCACGAACTTCATCAGGTCGGGCCCCACTGGCTTGGTCAGCGTTATTGCCACCTGCACAGCCGTCTGCATCAGGCTGTTGGCGTCGTGCCTCTGATCAGGTCCTGCCATGGTCCCCATCTCCCGGTTGCTCGGCTCACCCTCCAGCTCTGGGGCTTCACTGTCTGGGGTCGCGTCATCATCGTCCAGGTTCTCTGGTGACCACTCTCGGCTGGCCTCCGCTGTTCTCGGCAGCGGCCTGCGCTCGCTGCTGGGGATGCTGTGCGCTAGGATGTTGTTCCTTCTGTTCTGGAAGGCGTCCATGTGCACTCTTGCTGCCTGCTGCCTTGTACCGTACGGGAGGGTAAGCATCCTGTTCATGAGCCTCCGTCGCGTGCGGTGCGTGTTGCGCCAGACTTCTTCGCAGAAATCCTTGATCTGCTGAAGCTCCTGCACGGTGACGGCCCTGGTCTGCTCTTGCGTGTCCGCTCCGCCACCCACATTGGTGGTGGCCAGGAGGTACGGTACGCAGTGCTCCATCCAGTCGTCCATGTCGTCCCAGACCTTTTGGTCGACCATGTTCATCCACTGCTCCGCGTAGCCCTCCATGTGGTCCACGAGCCTCCAGCTGGTGTGGACGACAGAGTGCGGATGGCTGGGTGGCTGCTGTGGAGCTGGCTGCGGGTCCCCTGCCTCTGAGCTGTCCCCGTCCAGGTCGATCGCCTCGTGGTTACTCAGGCCGAGCTTGAAATCACCAGGCATGGTGATCTCGTTGAGACCCTCATCAGCTGAGTCTGCTGCTGGCTTAGCTCCTCTTGGCAGCTTGCCCCTCTGCATGTCCGCCAAGACCCGCCGCCCTGCTGCTGTTGGGGGCCGACATGGCCTTGCCAGCTTCCTTGCCACTCCTGCCACGATCCTGCTGTTGTGGTCCCCAAGGTAGCTGGTGCCGCCACATTTCTCGCACCAGAGCCAGCCATGGGGGAACTGCGTCTTGTGGGAGACGTGCACCACCTGCGTGCCGATCTGCACCGCCTTGAAGTCGAGCCAGACGTTGCCGTGCTGGTCCTGGTGGCCGCCGTACTTCCCGAGGCATTCTCCCGTCTCTGCCAGCCAGTCTCTGATGCTTTGTCCTTTGGCTGGGCCACTGCGACACGTTGCGCACCACCATCGCGGATGTAGCTTGCGCAAGTCGTGTCCCAGCTGGGCTGCCCTGTCCCTCGCCGTCTGCGGCTTTCGGCACTTGGCCTTGGGACGCTGAGGGGCCTTGTTGGGGTCCTCCACCGCCACCGCCATGTTGATGGCCAGCAGCCGGTTTTGCACCGCCGTGGTGATATGGTCCCTGATCTGCTGCTGCGCGATGATGGCTGGATCCAGTGCTCCATGCTCCGCTCCCCAGCCTGCGTACTTGTCTGCCATCTCGTTTCCTATGACCCACCAGGTGGGACCATTCCACCTCTCCAGCTCAGCTGGGTGCTCAATCAGGTGGCTTGAGATGTGGTGGCCCATGATGGTGTCCGTGCTATTATGCAGCTGCTGCTTCGTCTGGAGCCAGAGGTCGTAGTTCGTGCTCCTGTCGCCCAGACCCTCAGGGTCCTGGATCTGCTTGAGTGCGTCCAGGGCGCACTTGCAATCGCTGACTATGTTGAGCCCCCTGGCTGTCGCCGCCGTGGTGTACCCGATGGCTTTGCTCATGGCGGTGAGCTCTGCCCGTGGCACCGTGTGCGGTGCCCTGATCGTGCCGTACCAGGCGGCCACTTCCTGCGGACGCCCTTGTTCGTCGAACCTGAAGGCCACCACTGCCCTGCCGCAGCGTCTGAGGCGGGGTCCTTGGCCGTTTCCCCTGCACCACCTGAGCCGTCCGTGAAGACAGAGCCTGCTCGAACCTTGTACCCTGACTGGGCTGCCGCCTGAGCCTCTTCGCTGGTGCAGAAGATCTGCGCCGCCTTCGCCGCGTCCTCGCCTGGGTCGACCTTGGCTGCCCAGGCCGCTGGCGGGATGCCTCGGAGCCAGAAGTGCAGGTCTTGCCGCTGGTCCAGCGCGTCCTTCGCCTTCTTCGCCAGGTCGGTGTCATTGCCGTGCCCTATCTCTGCGTTGGCAGGGCATGCGTAGTAGCGGTGTTCCTCTGTCTCTATCGCCTCGCCGCATCTCGCGCAGGTGTCGTCGCCTTCTTGGTTGAGGTTGGCCGCCCTGCGACGCTCCCTGGTCCAGATGCCCGCCACCGCTATGGTCTCCAGCATGGCTGCCTCTGCATGCTGTCCTTCGCGCCCCCTCCTCCTCAGGTGGCGCTGCAGCTGATAGAGGTCGCCTCCAGCCTGAAGTCCTTCTCCACTGCGATGGCCAGCTGCCTGCTGCCAGAGCTGCTGCTGCGCGCTCTGCTGGACTTCATGCATGAGCGCGCCGAAGTGAGGAATGTCATCTGGCTTGTAGGCCCACTCGTCACCTGCTGGGCTGATCCAGCTGTCCAGGCGTCGCGGTATCCAGCCTAACCCAAGCAGCTGCGCGATGACCCCTGCCATAGGCCCCTTGACCTGCTGCCACCTGCGGTTGGGTTCCAGGGCGTCCAGCTTGGCGTAGAGCAGGAGCCAACCTCTCTGGTACCTCTTGAGCTCCGTCGGGTGGCCGACTATGGTGAGCCAGAACTGCTTGATCTGGTCGCCGATGGCTCGGGTTACTGCCTCTTGCATTCCCCTCTGGATCAGGAGGATGGTGGACGTGCAGCGTCCAGCCTTGTGTCCGCCTGTGAGGAGCGCTGCCTCCGTAGCCCTGACCGACTTCGCCTCCGTGGGCGTGGTGCCGAGCGCTGGTAAGTCCCAGGCCTGCTGGCAGTAGGCACCTGCTGAATAGACCTGTTGCAGCGACTCTGGCGTCCGTCTTCGCTAGGCCCCTGAGCTTGGCCACCCTCTGCTTGGCCTTGGCCTGGCGCGCGGCATGGGTGGGTCGCCGCAGCTGCTTGACGAGGCTGGTGTCCACGCCGAGGTCGCACACTACACCTGGTTGCTTGTTGGGGGTGCCCAGGCTGTCCAGGATGCTGGCGACTTCTGCCTGGAGGTCCTTGTCCGAGGCCACCACTGCCGTCTTGACGGAGATGGGTATCGAGAGCTGCTTGAATCCATCGTGCACCAGCGCTGCCACGTGCTTGATCTGGTCAATGACCTGCCGCCGCGCACCCTCTACCTGCAGGGCCAAGTCGTCCAGGTACTGCTGCATGACGACGAAGATGTGGTGCCTGTGCGCTGCATCCAGGATGCCATACAAGAGCGGTCTGGTGAGGTCGGCCGCTTGGCCACAGCCAGCTACCATGCTGTTGGCAGGCTCGAAGATGCCCGAGAAGAGGCTGTGGGCCATGATGGCCCTGGGCGCAAGGTACATCTGCACGGCCATTGCCAACGGCAGCAACGGGCACTGGAGGGCGCTGGCCTTCTCGATCAGCTGGTCGAGGCCTACGTTGTCGTAGAAGTTTGCCGCGTCGTAGAAGACTCCTGCTGCATGAAAGCCCATCTCCGTGGCGGCTTCTGCCCTCATCAGTCTGTGCATTGCCACTCGTAGCGCTGAAGAGCCAGCAACTGCCGTATCCCAGAAGCCCGCCGCTGCCTTGCTCCAGGTGGCTACTATGGGCCTCCTGGCTGCGCTCCAGATGCGGTACGGCATGGGCATGAGGCCGATGGGGCGCTCACCGCCGATTCCTGGCTTCTCGCCCAACAGCAGCTCCAGCACCAAGTAGAATTGCCACGGCCACGCTGCCCGTTGCTCACAGCTGGTCAGGCACTGCACGAAGTCTTCCAGCCCCTGGGCGCCCATGGCCTTGAGCTCTGGAGCCCTCCACCAGTCCGCTCCTTGGCCAGCATTGCGCTTCAGGTCCTGGATGATGGAGCCGATGATGTCCTTGCTGATGGGCTCGAGGGCATTCTCTTGGGCCAAGGCAGCCTGCCTCAGCTTGGCCAGCGCCTCTTGGATCCTCTCGGCCTTCTGTGCATCTCGTGTCCACCTGCGTTGCCATGCCTCTTTGCGCAAGTCCACCAGCTGCTGCGGGTGGTTGATGACCTGGCCCTCGTGCTCAAGGATGTCCTCCAGGTGGCTGCGCTCCGCTGCCTTGGTGTAGGCGTGGGCCATCTTCGCACTGCCTGCCGTGGCGTCGTGCACCCAGTAGATGTACGCCTTCTTCACCGCCTTTGTGAGTAGCTTGGCCATGCTCTTTACCTCCTCTGCTGCCCTGCTGATCGCCCCTGGGTCCACGAGGGCGCCCTCTGCTATCGCGTGCAGGTCTGTGAGGAGGGCCTGCTGCTGGTCCTTGGCTGCACCTTCTTTGTTCAGCCTGCCTGGGTCAGGCTGGGCGAGCTGCTGCGCGAGCTGCCGTCTTGTGTTGATCTGCTGTTGCGTCTGGTGGCCGCTGTGGGTGCGGACCTGCAGCTCTCGGCGGCTACTCGGGCCGCTGCCTGTTCCTGGAGCATCATGTAGTTGTCTTCGCGCTGCTCCTTCTGGTGCTCGTTCGCCTATAACTTCTCGCGTAAACCTCCGCAGGTTAGCAAGCTCCCTCCAATACATCATTTCCAATTCGTGCTTCCTCGTCGGCTCCTCTCGCGTAAGACCTTGGAGAAAGCCTCGGCGTCGTGCTTCTGCATGTCTCCATGCTCGCTCGCAGAGGTCCCTGATGATGTGGCTGAGGCCGGCCTGCTGGCACCTACGCCTGAGCAGTCTCACCATGCCATTGTTGCCTCCGCCACCCAAGATGGTCTCCAGGAGCGGCGCACATATCTGCATCCAGTTGCTGTTGTCCGTGGGGAGCTGCACCAAGTTATCCATCCAGATGGCCGCCCAGTACTCCAGGTCGTCTCTCATGGCCACGTAGTCTTCCCGCTCCCGCTGGCGCTGGTCATCATTCCAGAGGTCTGGAGGGGGCAGGCCCATATCTCGTGGCTCCTCTGCCTCTGGGCCTGGCGGCGCTTGGTTCTGACTCCCCAGGTGATCGGTACCCTCTGCCTCCAGAGTGCCAGCTGGCTGAGGAGGTGAGCAGTGCGTGTCACCTGGGGCAGTTCTACCAGATCCAGCTGCATGACGACGAACGGTCTGGCCGTAGTCGATGCTGTCCTGCTGCCCCTCGATGATCTGGTGGTGCCCGTCGCAGTCCTCCTGATCTGCGGTCTCCTGGCGGTACTGCCAGCAGTCCTCCCCCTCCTCGAAGGGATCGTGGTCTTGGGCGCCCATGGCGCTGCGTCCTGCTGGTGGGGGAAAGGCGGACCCAGCTGCGCGACGGCGAACGGTCTGGCCGAACTCGAGGCTGTCCTGCTGCCCCTCGATGTGCTGGTGGTACCCATCGCTGTTCTCCTGGTCTGCGATCTCCTGGCGGTACTCCAAGTAGTCCTCCTCATCCTCGAAGGGGTCGTGATCTGGGATGTCCATGGTGTTGCGTCCTGCTGGCGGGGGAAGGGCACCCCTCTGCATCCCTTCTGTGCAGCTGTCTGCGCTGCTGTGGGTTGGTCCCACGTCGAGGTCTGGGGCGCGCCCCGTGGCGGCGCACTCGGGGGACGGGAACCCCTGACCCATCTCAGAGCAGGGGCCAGCTGCCTTCCCATGGTCCGCTGCGCTCGCCTGTGTAGGGGGATGGGTACCCCGAGGAGAGTGAGGAGGGGCCTACCTCTTTCTCTGGGCCAGGCCGCCTCGCCCTCATCTCTTGGAAAGCTGCACCCGTCTCGGAGGTCCAGGACGCGTCCTTTGGCGGCGATGCTGGGCTGAGGCAGGGTCGCTCTGGGCTCTCTTGGGCTGGCCCCTCTGTGAGCTCCTAGACCTCAGCCTGAGGAGAGGAGACCTCCTCAAGTGCTGGCTGATTCGCGATGTCCTTGGTGCTACCGCCGCCGCCTCCTGCTGCGCCTCCACTGCCTGCACGCCGCTGCTGCAGCTCGGGGGGGCCCTCACCCCGCTCGGTGGGGGCGCGATCCCCCGAGCTTCCTCCCGAGCTCTTCGATGGGCTCATGGCTGGTGCGGGAACCCCGCCTTCGTGGCCTACCTGGCTGCCAGACATGACGGGGCCAGGCTCCGGCGCCGACGGGCCCTGTCCACCTCCTGAGTCCTCATCGGGAAGTGCCTGGGTCTTGCCTGTCGACTTGCTGCTGCCTCCTGCGCTCGGGCATCATGGTGCGAGAGCTGCCGCACCAAGGAGGAGATCTCCGCCCACCACGCGTGGATCTTCCTGTCGACCCCTGCCCATGGCGTAGAGGTGACGGTGTCCTTGATGCTCACGCTCTTGTAGCTCGGGGGCCTGCTGTGCCCGAGATGTCGTCCACGCTCTTCCTCTGGGATGCCCATGCTCTCGCACAGGCTGAGCTCGAGGGTGCTTGCGAAGCGGTCGTACTGTTGCCCCAGGTCCAGCATGTCCCGCTCCATCATATTGCCGACGACTGTGTGCTGCAAGTGCTGGGGCAACTCGTCGTAGGCGCGCACGCTGACCCGCTCGGAGGTGGCCTGCCACAGCTCGTCAGGGATGACGTGCTGGACCTCCTTGTCGTAGTACAGCTGCGGCACTGGCTCCATGTCGTTCTCGTCCAGGTCGCATCCTGCCTCTGCCAGCGCTTGCTGACGTCGGCGCATGGCCTCCTGGCCTCCGCGCGCCGCTCGTCTGCAAGCGGCTCTGGACTTCGGCATTCTCTCGACTGTGACTGGCGGCTTTATGGCTGCTGGCCAGCGAAGTACCCTGCCCTTGAGCATGAGAGGCCGCCCCTTCAACTTCAAGCGGATGCCGATGTGCGGCTTCCACGGCACGGTCCTGAGCAGCTCCAGCTGGTCGAAATACGGCGCCAGGCCCTGCGAGATCAGCGCGAAGTCGATGCACCTGGCTTCACCTACTGCTGGGAAACATGTGGGGGCGCCATCCTCCGCCGCAGCTACTTGAGCATTCAGCACCCTGGGCCAAATGCTGTTGTTGAGCTCCGACGGCGTCATGTTGAAGTCCCCAAGCGCTGCCCAGGGCCCTCCCCAGACGGCCATCTTCTCCCGCAGGTCGCAGAGGATGTCGACGTTCCTCTCTCCAAAGCCCGTCCCACACTCAAGGTAGACGAAAGCCACTGCGAAACGGACCTTGTGCAGGTTGGAGATCACCACCGTGACGTCACTGCCGTCCTCGTGCAGGTAGTGCTCATCGAAACCCGCGATCCTGTCCTGGATGTCCAAGGATCCTCGCGTGATGGCACACGTGCCTCCTCGAGTGCCTTCTCCTTCTCCTGGCCGTGCCTTGGTCCAGTAGCTGTGCATGCCATTCCTCCTGAGCGCCGCTCTTGCCTTGCTTATCTGCGCAGGCTGGCGGAGGTGGTGCTCCGCGATGCCAATGATGTCCCTGTCCTTGGTATTGTTGATCTCCATGAGGTAGCCCTATGCCTGGGGGCCCCAGGTCGTGACGTTGAAGAAGTCGATGCGGCACGGGCGGCGAGCCTTCTTCGCGCTCGCCTTGGGGCGGCTACCCTGCTGAGTGGTCACCTTGCCCTTCTGCGTCGACGACTGTCTCGGCGCGCCTAGCCTGCGAGACCTTCTCTCGCGCCTCCTGGATGTGGGCCTCCACCCTGACTCGGCGTCCTTCTGCTTTGTCATGTTCTGCTGCGCCTGCTTCTGGTTGGGCAGCTGCTGCGGCGCCGGTGGGCGCAGCCGCGGCGGCTGTCCCTGCTGCCTCAGTGCATGTGGTGGCACCTCGCTGAGGGGCTGGGCTGGCGGCGCAGACACGCTTGCCTGGTGGGGCTTCTGCTGCTTCTGGGTATTGCTCTCCGCTCTTTGACAGGCGCTTGGTGCGGGCCTGCTCGAGCTGGCGCAGCTGCTCCTGGTGCCTGGCCGTCTCTTCCTCCAGTAGTCGCAGGTGCTTCGCCGTCTCCTCCTCGTGCTCCTTGACCGTCTGGGCCATGCGCTCGCCCTTGGCCTTTGCTGCTCGCCAGACCTCCTTGTCGGGCTCGGACCACTTGTGGAAGTCGTCAGGCTCATGCTCGAACTGCTCCAGGAGGGCTGCCAGAGTTGGCTTCTCGGCTGCAGGTTCAGCTGGTGCCTCTTGCTTGCCGGCTGTGGCCTTGAGCTTGTCGAACTCATCTTCGGCTGCAATGGGGGCTTCCATGGCTTCACGAAGCTTGCGTTCACTCTCAGCCAAGTACTGCTGGGCACTCTCAACTTGCTCCCCTGCCGATCGTACTTTCTTCTGGAGTTTGTCCAAGCGTCGAGCAGCTGCCTCCACTGCCTTGAATCCAGCGACTGGTTGGTCTGCTGGTGGCTTGGCTGCTGCGAGCTCTGGCCAGAGGGCCTCGTAGTGCTGCCTGAGCGGGTCGTCCTTGCTGAGCTTGCTGTAAGCTGCTGCGGCGGCAGCCTTGAGGTCGACAGTCTTGTCGTGAGGTGGTGGCTGGCGTTGGCCTCCTTGTCCTTTCCCGCCTGCACCACCACCTGGCTGCCAACCATCTGCCCAGCTGATCCTGGGCGAGGTTCCTCCTTGGGGCTGTGCTGCCAGCCACCCACCATCGTCGTCACGGAAGACATGACCGTCGGGAACGAGGCAGGCGAGGTTCTTGCCGCAGATGCAGAGGTCGCCCCTGCTGGTGATATTCTTGCAGTAGCGCCATCTGCTGCACCCGTCACACACCACGCAGCTGCTGCGAGGAGGGCGACTGCCACTGCTGCTCCTCTTCCACGGGGGAACCCTCTGGCGATTCGGGGTCCCCGACCAGGCGCTGCCCGCCCCGCGTCCGCCGCCGCCACTCCCCGTGGCTGCAGCGGTGCCGCGCGCGCGCCCGACGCCCGTCTGGGAACTGTCCTCGGTCCAGAGGTCCCCCTTCGGCCTGGAGGCTGGACAGCCCCCCAGGTCGTCATCTTGAGCCAAAATGGCCACGGAGGACGAGGAACAGGAGGAGGGGGAGGAGGACGAGGACGCGCACGTCCACGAAGGGGGTGACCCAATTCACAAAACATGCAACATAGGGACAGGCGGGCTAGACGGGGAAGGCGGGGTCCTCCTCATCCTGGCCCTCGCGCCGTCGCCACCTGTCCTCGAGCTCCGCGCCAAGCGCCACGAGCTCGGCGCGCGTGAGGCCGGCCAGCTCCAAGCCTCGCTGAAGGTCGGCTGCTGGTCCCTCACAGCCAGAAGAAGGATGGGCACCCCGAGAAATGTTCGGGGGCCCCTGAAGGCCTCTGCTCCAGACAGCAAAAATGGGGCCTCATCCCAGCCGAAACTCATTGGTCGGGGCCCCAACGTACGCCAACGTGAATCCCTTTGGATGTCGGCGGCCTGGGTAAACACAAGCACGGAATTCATCCAGATAAAACGAGCGACGCGAAGTCGACGACGGTCGAGCCCCCGAACGAACGTTACCTCTCTTCGCGCTGGCGTGGGGGTCCGCGCCACACGAGGTGCAGCACAGCAGAGAATCACGAAACGCATCCCCGTCCGACTCATAAACATTTCCTTGCTCAAGAGCGCGCCCGTTCTGGACCCGCGCTCCAGGGGTCGGGGGAGGGGGGAACTCAGGAGGCTGCTCGCTGAAAAGGTCCCCAGGAGCCTCCTGAGGCCCGCCTCCCCGCCCAGGGCCCCCTGGACCACCGGGCGCCCCCGAGGGGGCCCCAGGCGCCCCGGGAAGGGGCAGCCCAGGGATCGCGTGGAGCAGGACGTAGTTTAGCCATTCCAGATTCACGTGATCGCTACTACACAGGTCTCTGCACTCGGCCTGCTGGATAGCGCAGTGCACACCCACGCGCCGCGCAAACTCAGCGTATCCAGTGAGCAGCTGTCTGTCGGCCTCAGCAATTCGGAATGGCTCGGCCCCCTCTTTGGCGAGTCTGTCAGCTTCCGAGTTCCCCAACGGCTGCATCTCGGTGATCCATCCTACCCTCGCACATCCACAAATGAGGTGTGGGAGGGGATCTTATGAACACAAATACCTTCCAAACGGTCCCCTATCTCAGCCCACCAGTGGGCCCGCGCCGACTTCGAACTCGAGGCCCCCACGAGGTTTCGGAGGCACCCGACTGTGGCAGCGCAGTCCACATAGAGCGAGGCATTGGGGGATAGGACAGATCGCCGAGAGAGCATCAGCACCGCAAAATCTTCTCCATCGCGGGCCTTTTGTCCAGATGCTTCCCCGAACGGCACAACACCAAACAGAGCGGCCAAGGTTCTGCCTTGGCTGTCAAGAACCACAACAGACTACCCCGCGGTCCCTAGGCCAGCGAGCTCCCCCTCACATCCTGACCCGTTCGTGAAAACATGCGCCCCCTCGGGAATGGAAAGGGGGCCGCCCTGAGGCCACTGGTAGCGACGCGTGCGCGGGTTCTGCGGGTCACGAGGGGGCCGCTTCACCCAGGCCGCGGGGTTGGGAAACAAACATCTACTGAAAAGTTCTCCTGCGGGGGTCGGGGGATGGCCAACGTTCCGAGCAGCCCTGGCGACCAAAGGATCCAGGTCCTCACGGCGCCGCGGTTCAAACGCAATGCATCGGAAACGGCGATGGTGCAACGTGCCACGGCCATCTCTGCACAGCTGACACTCGCAGGTGGCCTCTGGACTGTCGGGTCCACTCCACAGACCGAAATCAAACTGCTTTAGCTGCTCTTCTCTCTCGATGGACCTGACGACCGAGCCGCGCAACAGGCGTGAGAAAAAAACTTTGGCGAGAAACGATCGATCGACCACTCTCTCTGGAGGTCATCAACGAGGGCCATCTTCGAAAACACGAGCGACCAACGGACCCGAGACAGCTGCAGGAAAAGCGCAGCCACAGGCTGACGAACCTGGCTCCATGGAGCCAGGCCCTTCTGAACAACCAGAGCATCCTGGACACAAGACTCTAAGGCTGCTTTCGAGATGGACGTTGCCCACCAAACTCCGACGAATGCCTTTACAGCCGAATCCACCGTCACCAGAAGCGGGCCCCTGAGCCAGAGTCGGGAGGAGGAGAGGAACCTGAAACCCAGGTAGGTCCCAGGAAGGAGAGGCCCCCAGAATCTCGCGGCCTGAACCCGGAGCTTTTGGCGGGTGGTCGGCGGGGCCCCCAAAATCTGTGATCCCCGCGTTGCTCTAGCCAGCGGTCCGACTCGATAGACGCGACTGTGCTTCTCACTCTGCCCCAGCTGGCGCAGGGCTGCTCCAGTGCTGCGGGCGGCCACAAGCCTCGACGCCTGCGCGCCGACTCTCCGAGCTCTGCCGTCCAGCGAGTCGCCGCCGAGGTCGCGGCGGGAGATGACCAACTTGTCGCCTGCGAGCTGCCACCTTGGATCCTGTGCCAGCTCGGGCAGCAGGCTGCGGTCCGACATCATGAACTTGGATTTATCCCAATCGATGGCAACTTCCTCGGCTCCAGCTCTGATGTGACAATCGCGAAGCTGGCGATAGTGTCCTCAATAACTGTCTTGGGCCCACCGATGGTGTGCGTCGTCAAATCGTCCACAACGTTCAGCGCTCGGCATGGCGGGGTCTCCACCGCCAATCTCTTGAGAAGGCGCAGCGCCATCAGCTTCGCCACTCCAGTTGCTGCGCTGCAGCCTGCGACGATCGTACCATTTGGGTCCTGGCTCTGCTCGTGCCCCCCGTGCACCTGGCTCGTCTCGGCGCACGGTGCACGCGGCGCAACGCCTTGAGCAAGGCTCCCGCAACTGCTGGTGGCTGACGTTCTCGTAGAACTTGCGGATGTCGCAATACGTCGCGATGGCCGAAATACCTTTCCGTTTGGCGTGGCACG